ACACAATCCCAGACTTGCTTCCAGAAGAAGGGAGTGGTAAAACAATTCTGAGTACACTATGGTTGAAATCTTGGCTGCAGAGGCAGGTTAGAAATCTAAATCCCTATTGTGTCTCCTGGGAGAAGGGGCACCTGAGATCATGCACAACCTGTATGGCCATTGGGGTTATATGTCCTGCCACCCATGAAGCCCTGGGAAAACTGCATATTCCCAGAATGCCACCAGTAGGAGGAACTGGTAAACCAATTTATACCAAGATCACCTGAAAGGATTCCCATAAATTGAGATCAACGTGATGACACATAGCAATTTCTTAAAAGTAAGATATTTTAAGAAATACAAATCTGAATTTTAATTAATAATGATGGTGATGAGTGGGTGATCAGACATGTTTCCACCTCTGGTAACCTGCTCATCTCTTCCAGGTACCCACTGAACCTACTGGATATTAGTTGCTAATCATGGCTGCCTATCATGCTGGAATGGATTTCTAGACCACTAAAATTAAGAGTAAGGATAGAGGGATAGAGATCTGGGAAACAAGTCCTTACTTCTGCTGATACTCTTTGATGAGTCGCTTGGCTTTGCTGTACTTTCTCTCCAAAGTTTGGTATTGGGCCTGTGTCTCTTTCAAATGCTCATCCACAGCCTGGCACAAGTTCTGGGCCTCCATCCAGTAGCCCTCCAGTTTCTCCATCCGCTCCTTGTTTTCCTCCACACTCTGTTCTAGCTGGGCTTTCTCAAGGCGCCAACGGGCTTTCTCCTGTTCAATGGACTGCAGCTGGGAAGAAAAAGGAGGAGGAAGAATGATTAATTTATGCATTTATCTACCCATTAACTAAATCTTAATGAGCAATCACAGAAGAGGGTTCCACAGCATCAAGGTGGTATCTGAGGAGGTATACTTCCTTTGTGAACCAGCCTAGGGGGAAATATGATGGACCCTGAAGCAGGAACACCTTGGATGATCATAAATTAGATGGCAGTTTTCAAAGGACGAGGTGTGCCCTGAGAAATGCAGACCATTTAGGAGTACATATGGCAAAAACAGCACTGTGATTTGGGTCTAGAAACAACTGGCATCTAACCTTATGGGAAATGACTTGCATCCTAAAATAAACGTTGGGGTAGGGCAGCATTCTGTAGCAGTTGTAATTCCAAAATTATCTTCCTGAGCAACTTTGTGCAGAGTGCAGGCACTAAGAAAATGACATAGCCTACATGTAAGAACACAAGAAGGACCCTGCTGGACGAGACTAAAGGCCTATCCAGACTAGCATTCTGTTCCAACAGTAGTCAATCAGATGCCTATTGGAAGCCTATAGGCAGGACATAAATAGCTATCATTAGGAAAGGCTCGCCTGTGCTTATCATTCACTAAGGCACTGAAGACAGTGGCTAGGTCTCGTATCTTCTGGCAGCAAAAATAAGGCATCTTGTGGCCCCTTAAATTCTAACAAGATTCATTTGGCAGAGGCTTTCATGGACTGTCTCTGATGTTTTCAGAAACGTCTGGTCTACAGTTCATAACAGAGCATGCTAAATAAAACTTTAACATTCCACACCACTCTGTGGGGAAGATGTGTGTTGCTGCACTTTGCCTCCAGTTTCAAGTGGCATCAGAGCTCTGCCTGCCCCAACCCAGGGCTGAGTAGGGGGGGATCAGAACTCAACCCTCCGGATTCCAAGCTGTGGTCTACTGGATACCAAAATGTAGTAAAAAGAGCCCTGATATTAAAAGTCAGTTCAGAGGAAAAGCCTGTACAGCATTTCCGGAAAAGGCTGTCAAGTACGGACTCTGGCAATTCTTTAAAGGAAGAAAGGAATTTCATGGCTATCCAATGTAGTCCTTGACATCTCCTGGACCACATTAATTCTTACCTTTCTTTTCAGCTGCTGGATTTCAGCCTCAGTCACAGCATGCTTGATTTGGAGCTAAAGAGAAAAACAAGAAGTTTAGCATCTTTTCTTTGCTTGGATGAAACCAAGAAACTCCACTGACACGTGACCAACTGTGCTTCACAGGTTATTTCCATTTCTCTTGAAAAAATGCTGGATTTCTTTTGATTGTTACAACCCACTGATGATGGGATACAGGGATGGACATGTAGTTGGCAGGGTGCGAAAAACACACAAACAACTAAAATACTGTTTGACAGCAGGCTTTGGTTTTTGTGGATGCTTCCAGTTTTTCTTTTCTTTTAGACATCACCTACTGCTGATCAGGGGAGGGCAGGAAACCTCAGGTTCAAGGTATGCCTCTGTGTATGTGTGCATGCAACTGCGTGCTCACAGTCTCACACATATGTGTATCATTGATGCAAGCTAAGCATTCACATCACAAAGACATCGAGCACGCTTGCATAAAGAAATAACACTGCTGGCTCTGCACCTCTTGCTAATAATACTAAGCTGCAGCATGAAAATCAAAAAGGGCATGTAGCTTTTAAAACAATCCCAAATACACACTGCATTCAGTTTCAGCTGATTCTCCAGCCCTCTGCATACCAGAGGACTAAGCTACACAGGACCAATCTGGGCAGTATTCTACTTTTTTCACAATTAACCTATGCAAAATTGGAGCAGGGCCCCTTCCCCTACACCTTATCTCTCAAGTTGTGGAAATCATGTGGTCCTCCAATGCCTTTTTTTGGCCTTTCAATCCTCCTGTATCCTCCCAGATAACTTCTCATTTTTTAGAAAAAGAAGGCAGTTCACATTCCTAGAAGCTTCCAGGAGTGACAATCTCCCTTTAAACAAGTTGCAGCTCTCTTCAATTTCTTAAAATAATTTTTAAAAAAGGTTTTACAAAACTGTGTCATTTTTGCCTCCTTTTCACAGAACTGTATGGCTGGACAGATCTCAGGGCCATTCAGTCTAACCCTCTCCTACTTCAGGAAATCCACAGCTAAAGCATCCCTTAACAGAGCACAGACAGAGTTCTGACTCCTGTCCTCTGAAGATGCCGGCCACAGAGACTGGCAAAACATTTGGAAGAAAAACCTTAAAAACATGGCCAAACAGCCCAGAAAACCCACAACAACCACTGGATCCTGGCCATGAAAGCCTTCGAGAACACATCCCCTAACAGATGGCAATCCAATTCCTGTTTAAAAATCACTAATGAAGGAGAGTTCACTACTTTCAGAGAAGGTGGACTTGACTTCACTGGTTTCTTTTTTTTAAACCTGAGGTTCGATTGAAAGGGGAGGGGCTACCCCTTCATGGTAAGTTTTTAAACAGAGGTTTGACAGCTGTCATGGATGCTTCAGTTTCTGGTGACCTCCAGTTTCATGCCTTTACATTTGGTACAGCTCCAGGTAGAGTCCCAAGGTGGGAAATTTGCCCCTGGATTCATGGCATTTGCTCATTCATGCACTAAAAGTGTCAGTTTAGTATTGTAGGGACATATATCCTCCTCACACACTTTCTACTTCAAAATTTAGCACAGAGTGTGTCAGTAAACCAGGACTAAGGTGGCTTGATTCTGGTTGCTTAAATGAAAGATTGCTGACACACATTCCATGGTCAACTAAGGGCTGCTTCACATATTACAGCAAAAAGCAATGACACATTAAACATTCAGTGCTCTCCAGCCTGTCACCTGCACATCTGTCTTTCTCTGTTGTTTTAACTGCATCGAACACAGTGCAAAAACTCATGCTGGGAGCTAAGGCCACCTGCAATCCCTTGTAGCACATTTCCACAGTACAAGGCAGTGGCCTAACATTACAGAACAGAAGCAAAGATTCAAAGTACTGTACACATTTGACATTTATCAGCTTCAGCAATTATGTGTGAAGCAGCCTGAGGGATCCACAGAAAGGGGACAGTGCTTTCTCATAGCAGAGATGTGGGGGGGTATAACTGTAGAAAGTTGTGTCACATGGTAGTAATCCAGGCATCACCGTGAAGCTGAGCTAAAAGAAGAGCCATCCAGCTGCCTCAAACATTCCAATCTACTGTATACTTAAGAGTGACAAACGGAGGGCCAGGTCTGCCACTAGGGGTCAGCAGAGACACATACTTAAGAGTGACAAACGGAGGGCCAAGTCTGCCACTAGGGGTCAGCAGAGACACACTACCTGAACCAGGGATATCAGCTGAACTCAATACACACAGAAGCACTGTTGTTTGTTTTTTACATCTTCACACAAACCCAACATCCTTTCTGGTGGTTCAGCAAACTGTTTTAGTGCAGCTAGCGCTCACATGGTCAGAAGTCTGGAATTTTTTAATTAGCAAGGATGATGACATTACCTGTCACCCCATTCAGATTTCCATGTTTCTTTGAGCTTTGCTACTATCCT